GGAAATATTTTCCATAGTGGGCCAGATCTGGTCCCCACTACAGCTGACAGAAGTAATTTAATTTGATTTCAGTTTTATTTACTCCACTTGAGAAAGAAACAAATGCATGTTTCTTCTGCTCTTATTTCTCTTACAACTATATACCTTTTCCTTGACATTCCATGTAGGAATATTTCAATTAATCTTTAGAGACCAATAAACCTTTTTATGCAGCCTGTTTATCTGAACCATAGCAAACTTACAGTGTTAAGCTACTCATGTATTACAGGGTTTTGTGTTTTAAAATCCTTAATAAGGCTGGGTCTTGGCTACTTTGAGAAAGGAGGATGAACTTTTCTCTTTAAATGCAATGTCCAGTGAGTTCCCTCTTCTGATGCAGAAGAACCAATACTTCAGATGAACAGTAGAAAGTAATTCACACAATTCAGAATGTGCTCAATTGTACAGTTTATAAAGCATTCCTGATGTTCACGTCTCACTAGGAAGATAAATAAAGCAAGAGCAGGACAAAGATTTAAATGCTTCATTTTGAGAAATAATTTAAAAAAGCTATAAAATGGAAAGAAACGCCTGCAAGGTATTAGTAAATATCCAAATCTAAGTCTCTGCCCCAGAAAACAATGGCAAAAATAGAGATACTTAGTTGAAGATAGTACAAAACCAACCCAAACCTCACACTACACTCATAAGAATGTAAACTTGATAGATAATGGTGATTAACTGCCTGATAGAATTATAAGAATTAGGATAATGAAAAAAGTACATTTGTGATTTAGTGAAACAATTGGAAAAAAACACCCTAACAAAATCTCTTGAAATAATCCCAGTCAGTTTAGAAATGAAGATGTTTCTATGGAATAAAGAAATAGTATCCAATAACCACACACAAAGGTTAGTGATCAACATCAGCCAATGGTGTTGAAAGGATGGACGTAGTAAAAGACTGGTAGAGCGGATATTCTCTACTTGTCCACATGTACTCCCTGTGCACAGAGGCAATGGGAAAATGTATTAGGAGATTACAGGTGGGCGTTTTAGTATCTTTTCCTGCCTCACAGGAAATAAAGCAACATGTCACTGTAGGTGGACTGCCCACAACAGTCTTCCTTACAGAGCTATATAGATATATTTGTATATATATAGAGAGCAGCTTTTGTATAGCTGCTCAGAAGTCAGTGAAGCTCTGAGAAGCACTAAGTCCCTTTGCTTTCCCATCTGCAGCTCCTGATGAATAGGACACTACAGAGAGGACAGACAGTTACAATCTAGCTCCTGCAGGGGAGCGAACTTAGAAGAACTACCTAAAACCAGAGTTATAAAAGGTTATTCCTGCCTCTGTTCATAAAACCAGAACTAGTGTATTCTCCTGCTGTCCTGCCCATTTCAAAACTTTCCCCCAGAAGAGAATGCTTCTTGGGAAACTCGCAGATATTGTTATCTCAAGATTTTCTGTCCTCTTGTGAGAAGGAAAAGACTTTCTGTGTCACCTAGACCATCTCCTTATAGTTTAGACCTCTTCTTTACAGTTCTTAGCACCCATACTTGCACTTCAATTCAGACACTGAGGACTTTCCTCCCGCACAAAAGATCCAGAATCCAGAGAAAGCCCCCAGTAACAGGAGAGAGGTCTGATGTGGGTGCAGCAAAAGCTGGGATCTTAATCACTTCCTTTGAGTTGATAGTAGAAAGAGATAGTCTATAGTTCAATCTACATCTGCTGTTTCTTCAATACATGCTGGGGTTTTTTGTGTACACCTTCCATCAACACTTGTTTTAGCATTCCTTAGCTTGCAACACAATGGCTTCCACATTTTCTGGGAGACAACTGTGCAGCATAAGAACTAAGTGTTTAGGTGGTACACGTGATTTTCAAGGAACATGGTAGGCACCACATTGCCCAGTCTGTTAGGAAATAGAAAAGGTATCACTGAAGGATTCACACTGTTGAGGACAACACTTCATTCTGGGCCTCTGTAAGAGCCCAGCAGGTCTTCCCAGGCTCTCTGGTGCCTAATCACTGCCTTTTGTGTTCAGGATGATGTTCAGACTGTAAGAATGGAATTTCTTGAATGTAACGTCTTCCACCCCAGGCACAACAGCAAGATAAAGCTTGCATAAATGTGACTTAGGAATCACTCCCTTGGAAAAGAGGACCTTCACTGTAACTTTTTCCATGATGGATTTCATTCTCTTGCGATAATGATAGATTCTCTTTGGTATTCTGTCCACTCTATGTCCAGCCACAGGAGACTTGAAAAGACAGAGTAAAAATGGACCCCAACCCATGTCACTGAGCCAAGATTCACACAGGCTGCATGGGCACATGGAAGAAATTTTAGTTAGGAGGAACCCCTTGAGGTCATGCAAGTAGACCACTCATGTAAGTAGATCAGCTCAGACATGACTTTGTCTAACCAAATCTTGAAAACTTCTAAGGACAGAGATTTGATATCCTCTTTGGGTGAACTGTTCCAGTACTGCACTGTTATCCTATTAAAGAGTTTTTCCTGGAATCTAGTTTGAACCTCCCCAGCTACAACTTGCAACTTTTGTTGTCTGTCACTACTGAGACAAGTCTGGTTCCATGCTCATTTGTGCCAATATGTATGTCAGTGCATGTGTCACTTCTGTAAAGACGGCAGATTAAACAATGAGGGACTAGGTTATTGAAACATAAAATCTATTAGTGGATTTTGTATTCATCTCTGAATTAAGGAACAAGGACAAAGATTGATTGCCTTATGTGATAAAATGATTGGATTTGTGGATGAGGAGAAAGCAGTGGATGTCATCCACTTTGATTTTAGCAAGGTTTCAACACTGTCTCCCATGATATTCGTGCATCCAAGTTAGGACATTACAGTCTGGATGGGAGAGCAACAAGATAGGTAAAAAAATAGTTGGATGATTGAACTCAGAGCATAGTGTTTTATGGGACATACTCAGGGTCCATCCTGGGATCTCTTCTGTTTAACATCTTCACCAATGACCTGAGGAGGCAGCAGAGTGCTTGCTTGCTCATAAAGTTTGCAGATGATCCTGAAGTGGGAGTTGCAGGTGCATCAGCTAACATGCTCAAGTGCAGGACTGACATCCAGAGGCACCTGGACAGGCTGGAAGAATATGCCAACATGAACCTTACCAAACTCAGCAAGGACAAGTGCAAAGGAAGAGTAGGAAGAGTATCACCAGCAGGTTGAGGGAGGTGATCTTTCTGTATTAAGCAATGATGAGACCCTCATCTTGAGTACTGCGTCCAGGTCCAGACTCACCAGACATATTGGACTAAGTCCCTCAAAGGACCCTATAGATCATTAAGGAACTAGGTAGCAGGTTGAGGGAGGTGATCTTGCTGTATTAAGCAATGGTGAGACCATTCATTCTGAGACTCATCTTGAGTACTGTGTCCAGGTCCGGGCTCACCAGACATATTGGACTAAGTCCCTCAAAGGTCCCTGTAGATCATTAAGGAACTAGGGTCTTTGGCCTATGAGAGGAAGATAAGAGAGCAAGGACTGCCCCATGAAAAGGCTCAGAGCAATCTTATCAATGTGTACAAAATCCTGATAAGAGGCAGTAAAGAAGACAGAGCCAGACTGTTCTCAGTGGTATCCAGTGAAAGGAAAAGACAATGGACACAAATTAAAACACAAGAAATTCCAGTTCCACATCAGAAAAAAGCTACACTGGAACACAAAGGCAGTAGAGACTCCGTCTTTGAAGAAATCCAAAACCAACTGGCACTGAGCAACCTGCTGTAGTGGACTCTGCTTTGAGAAGGGAGTTGTGTAGGACAATCTTGTGTAGGACAAGTCAGCTAATCTGTGATTCTATGAAAAACAAGGCAGGCCAAGGAGTTTGGTGGAGCTGTATGTGAAAGGCATAAAAATGAATAATGAATCTCTTTTCAAACACATCAGGAGCAGGAAGCCAGGTCAATAAACAATTAAGTTGTAAAAAAAGTGAAAAGAGTGCTTAGAGAATTTTAAGACAGCAGAAAAAAAAAGTTTTTTGCATTCATGTTGACCATGGAAGAGTTAAAATTCTTGCAAAAGAATATTCTTGGGAAACTGAGCAGAGGATATGTCTAAAAGTGAAGTCTTTGTAAGTACAGAATAGGAAACACACTGACTAAGTCAATGGCAACAAATCATCACAACCAAACAGTGTTCACCCATGAGTTCTGAAGGATTCAACAATGAAAGAGCTGAAGTATATGCTATAACAGGGAAATGTGAGCACACTTTCTGTAAAGTAATTTCTCATGTTCCTACTGGTTTTCTCTAAAGGAATCAATGAGAACTTGAATAAAAGAAGAATGCTTGATATAAGCTGCATGGAGAACTTCATTGTGAGGAATGGACTGGAACATTTCAGCCTGGCACAAAAAGGGAGGGAGAACACGTTGTAATAGGAACCTCTAAAATCACAAATGTTATGGTGAATAAGGAACAACTGTTTACTCTCTCTTCCAGTAGAGTAACCACCAATTGAGAGCCGCAGTTAGCATGTTCAGAAGGGCAAGCAAAAGGTGAAAGTCCTTCACAAAACATGTCATTAAATAAGTGAAGTAACTCTGCAGCAGGAAGCTGAGGATGGTAAAATTCCCACGGGTTTAAAAAACAAAAAACAAAGCAAGAAATTGAAGGGAGAAAAACTCAGCTGAGATCCATTAAACACAAACAGATAAACTCCTGGCTCAAGCATTTCCTGTGATGGAAATTGTTGCAGAGTGAAAGAGTATTCCTGCTAGGTGTCATATTTATGTTCCTGATCTGTTGTTATACTCTTCCCAAAGCACTGGTTGCTGATTGTTGTCAAATATACCAGATTTTTGATCTGGTGCAGTGCAGCTATTCTTATGGATGGGTGCATGTTGTTCTCACAAGTGCCTTTGGAAGTTGCTGCATATGAAAAACTAGTGACAAGATCCAGACCTCGCTATCTAAAAAAGTGATATTAAACCAGAAATGTAAAGCAAATAAAACAAATAAATTTACCCTTATGGGAAGACGAGGAGGTGCAAGGACTTCTTGTGTCTCAGAAATACCTTCATGTTCTTGAATGCTGCCATTGCCACTGATGTCCCCTGAAACCTGTGCAAAACCCAATCATGATAGCAAGTTCATACAAGTCAAGAAAAAAAAAGCACGATGTCCAAGGAACTGGCTACTTCAATGCAGAAAAAACTTTTTTTCAGTTGGTAAAGCCTTGGTGTCATTAGGATGTTAACTTATTTCAGTACTTACAACATTTCATGAAAATGACCCATCAGAAAAATAAAAGTCATAGTTCATTTTCTCAAAGGTGTTATAGGCAAAAGAAAATTATGTTTTTGAAAAATCAGTTTTAGGGGCTGTGTAGTCAAAAAGAGATTCCCACACAGAGATAGTTTTAAGTACGATACTATGTTCCCAAGAAGAAATACTATATTTAGTCTTACGAAAAGTGTCTAACGGCAAATGACTTCGAAATCTCTGAAGCACTGAGGATAAATAAAGAAGTGTTTATAAGAATACTTACATAAGGATCATCATCTTCACAATGATCTTCAGTAGCCCTTGGGTCAGATTTGATTGTCAGATGTTGAATTGAGCCCTACATGAAACAACAAAAACAGTTCAAGGAAGCAATATTTTAAGTATCATGTGTGAAGTGGGGGTGTATACAGGTGGAAATTAGACAAATCAACAGAAAAACCCAGTCTTTGTTCCGATTTGCTTGGAAAATGAACCAAAGCACAACATTTTATGATAATAAGCCCAGTTTAAAAATGTAAACATGTTCTTACATTTTCCTTTTGCAAAATGTAGAAAAAACTGAAGCTGTCAGAATAAAATTACTACCGTATCCCAATGACAATACAATTGATACACTGTATTGTTAGTGACCCGACTGAGGGATCTAGCCCTAGATTATGTCCTAGAGTCTGTAAAACACTGTCTGCTTTTTCTAGCTAATAAGTACATTGCAGCATGAAAAATGGCATGTGAAAACCCCTAAAAACTGAGACAAAGGATGTGATGGAAATACCAGTAAGTGATGAAGTGGGTCAGGGAAACCTTTTCAAAGCAGAAAGAAAGGAGATGGATTTTCTGATAATAAATGTTTCATTTTTCAGGGTTACACATTACATTTCTCAGTCAGAAATGCTGAAGGAGCAGCAATAATTTTGTTTTAAATATTTAAAGTCTTGTTTCTTAGATTACAAAGACTCAGTGTTCTAAGAAACATGTAGGGGACCTTCCCCTTGTTACAAGGTCTCACAGAGTTAGGCATGATGCACATGTAGGACAAAAAGACGGGTATTCAAATCAAGAGCCATCTTACCTAACACACATGACCTGCCTCTCCCTGTTCTGCCAACTCTATTTTTTTTCTCTGCTTTTGCATTTTCTGTAGAAAAGAGCCTGAAGAAGCTGACAGATTTAGTCTTTGTCTCTATACAGACACAGAATACGTCTCAGTCCAGTGACTTCTCTTCAAGGAGTTAGAACATTTACACCATACAACAATATGTTGGTTGTGCTCTGCCTGCCGAGTACTACCACAGACACACAGCAGATCTGCTCACTCAGCGGTATAGAAAGCCTGAGTCTTGATAAGGAAAACTGCAACAACTGTTGAGATAACTAGTATGCATTGCTGATACTTAAAGCCACCAAAAAATGCAAACCCCAGAGGAGGAGTAACTACCATTTGTATAGACTATATCTGACTTTCCTCTCGCTCTTTCCTCTCTGCAGTAGTCCTCTCTCCCTGTCCTAGAAGCATTGGGGAATTATAAGCTAGGAAGCACTTTTGAAGCAGTATTTCTGGTGGCTTCTAGAATATTTCAGAAAGAAACAAAATCTGAGATTCTGTCTTTAATCATCCTTGTAAAATTACAAGGTAATTTTTGTACCTTCAAAGACCATGAAACTCATGTAGCTGGTGCCTCCTGAGTTTGCAGGCAATCTGAGAGAATGGCTTAGTGAACTGAACAATCCTGTTTCTCTCAAAACTTAATAATGGGCAACTCAGATATTGAACCATGTCAGACTAACTGAACAGTTTGTTGAAAAATTATACATGAAAGGAGGCACAATCAGACACTTAAGCAGTCTCTTGGAAGCGATGCTTTGTTTTCACAGTGAGTGAATCGCATTTGGAGAACACATTTTTCTCCTCTTGCTCTAATCCATGGCCCTGGATGGTGAAGGAAGCAAAAAGGAGAGCCCTAATGTTTCCCAAGTGTTGCTGCTAGCCAGTTACTCCAACCAGGAAAGTCATGGCCAAGTCTGCCATGGTAGGGACGGTAGGTATGAGGTATTGTAGTCTCCCTCTGAGTCTTATGCTTGCTGCTGCCTTCCCTGTTAAAGCTGGTTTGCAGAATGTCGTCATCACCAATTCAACTATATTTGGTTGTTGTCTGGTTCCTACTTTTCTTTACAAGCAGCAGGGCTAGAATTTCCTTTTGTTTGCGTGAAATCTGATGATAGTTATGTCCTTTTGTGTCTGGCAACCAGAGCCTTAGACACACAAATTCCCGTTAGCTAGAGCAAACCAGCAACTGACATCCAGAGTCATTTGCATAGTCTGCTGTTTCTATTTTGGGCAATCTATGTAAACAGTTCTTGTCATACAAACAGAGCTTGAGGAGGAATCAACCATTTAGTTTTCTTACCCACAAGCAAGTGTGACATAGGATGCATGAAGAAATAAAGGCATAAGGCCTAGAGTACACATCACAATTAATGGTACTGAAGTAGTCGCAATATTGGCTGAAATGTTTGTACTCGATTTAGCATACAGAACAGCCTATTTCAGTAGAAATGCCGCAAAGTGTAACCCACCGTGCATTCCTTATCACCAATAAATCTGTAAATATGGTGATAATCTTAGCAACTGATCATCACATATGTGTTTTCCAGGCGGGGTACCAAAGTGATCTCATTTTCTTGAATGTTTCTCATTCCTACCTACTAATCAGGCATCCCCAATACTCCAGTCATCCCATCTGTCTAAGAAAGTTAGTGCCAGCAGGCAGTTTTCCTACATATCCTGATCTGCCACTTATTTGCTGCAATATATTCCTGTAATTCTAGGTGCTTAGACTAGTCAGATAAATGATAAAAGTACATTATCCTTGTTGCTTACCAGAGGGAGCTCACAACCTGCCAGTACACCTGAACTTTGGAAAGATTTTTTTTTTCTCTAAAGTAAAGGATCCATTCAGTTTTGTTCTGCTGCTTTACTCATTTAGGGA